CCGTCTCGCTCCACTCAGGACGACTATTAATAAAATCATGAAACCCTTTTTTGTACTGAGGTACTGCTTTCAGGATTTTAAGAGGGCTTTCGAATCAGAAAATAGGCAGAAATGAGTTAAAAGGCTGAATTAAAAAAAAAAGTTTTGAAGGAGAACGCAAGTAAAAAAAAAAATATTTACAATAACATGTTTTATGCGTTTCGAATCAGAAAATAGGCAGAAATGAGTTAAAAGACTGAATAAAAAAAAGTTTTGAAGGAGAACTCAAGTAAAAAAAAAAATTGACAATAACATGTTTTATGCTGCCCTCACTAGTCTATGCACGGTATCGTAATTAATATTGCATTTGTGGAATATGAATTAAGTATTAAAGCCATTTTTATGCATCTCAGCGGGCGGCCATTTTGCCACTTGCCGTCGACTGAAAATGACATCACAGTGTCTGCGAACGTCACATGACCAAATTCAAAAAACAGGTGAGCTGTGAATGGTTGTTACCTGAGCCCTCAAGCACTGAGGAAAAATAATTCTTTATTCTTGTACTAAAGGCCTTTCTTTGAAAAAGCTAACTATTTTGATGTTTGTTTTTTAATATTCTTACAGGACAAAATATGACTGTGATTAGGAAAAGGGTTGTTCTTGCATTAGGACTTGACATTTATAATACAAAGAGTTTTGGCATATTGCTGTTCATCTGTTTGTTACCGAGTTAAATTGTTGATAATAGCTGTGAGGAATTGTCTTCAAATGGACGAATATCATTGATTACCAATTAAGAACACACTAAACGTTTATCTCCTCCTACGCCACCAAATGTGAGCAAACCACACTTTATGCTGTGCCTGCTTTAGACGCATGTGAGACTGTCACTCACTAACCAACATTTATGGTGACATTCCGCTCAGTGAGCACGGCACGGCTGTATTAGCTCGCTTTAAGTTTTAAATCAGTGCAGATGTGCGCGTATGATGTGTTTACGGCTTCTTTACAGTACTCGCTCTGGACATTTTGCAGGCCACATTGGCTGCAGGAAATGACTAAGGCCCCTGCTTCTCAATCACTTTAGCAAGCCCCACCCCCGACCCCACCATCGCAACCACCACACCAGCATCTTCTGATCCCTAAGGGCACGAGCACCCAAATCAATTGAAAGAAAGAAGAGTGCACTGCGGTCCTCCCCCTACATCTGTCAGGGAGGGAACGCAGGAGGGGCCGTGCTCGTGGGCCTAACGGGAGGAACAATATCACTCCATCTGTCACAGCGCGTTTCATCTCAGACGGAATGAAATATAGCTCGCCAATACATCCGCCTCGATATCATCTGCACGTATTAGCTTACTGCAACTCCCAGAAGCAGGACTGTATAGCGAGTGGCGTCTCGTATCATATTACCGTACACCCACCAGCGAGAACTCGCCAAACCGCCTTGCAAATCACACTTGGAGCTAAACAGCATAGATTTGATTCTCCCCCACAAGTGGCAATGGCGCCACATGGAAAAAAAAAGACAAATTATATTTACACATACATATACGTATGCGGGGTGTAATAAAAATGGTTTGAATCGAAAAATCGCTTCTTATTTAAAGGATATCACGTTTTATGGAAAATGAATGTTCATCCGTGTTTTTGAAGAATGTCTTGGGGTTTAAAAAATATCTATGCTTTTTTTTTTCCCCCACCAATGCTATTCGATGGGCATCAACTATATGTGGATTTTCACGATTTGTGGACCGGCCCAGTCGCTATCTCCGCAAATAGCGGTTGTCAACGGTACTCACATCCAGCCATCCTTTTCCTGATCCGTTTTATTCTCACAAGGGTCGCGGGGCGTGCTGGAGTTTGAATTTTGAGTGTTCAATCAGCCTACCAAGCATGTTTTTTTGGAATGTGGGAGGAAACCGGAGTACCCAGAGAAAACCCACGCAGGCACGGGGAGAACACACAAACTCCACACAGGAAGGTCGGAGCTGGAATCGAACCCGGTACTGCACTGTGAGGTCGACCCTACAGCTCCTTACAAAAACAAGTCAAATATGAAAATGGATGTGGATCCAGTAATGTTGCGTGCATGTCCAACATTACGCCGAGCAATGACTTTTCATAGGGAAAAAAACCCCAGCTAAAATGCAACTGGCTCATAACCAGGATGTTTTAAAGACAATACAGTCGTAGTGGGTGGGTGAGAGGCTGTGGGGGGGGGGTCCTTGATTTTGCCCGGCTTAATGATGTACACTCTCACGCATGTGGACATCATCAAATCACACCGACGAGCCCGACACAGTGTCTGGCGTTTGATTCCTCAACAAACAAGCTAAGCTAAGGAGAGCACAAAATGGCCTGTTTAGGAGGAGGAGGAGGAGGAGGAGGACAGATCCATCCATATTCCCGAGGGCCATCATGCATCTCTGTGAGCAGCAGGTAGAGCTGCAATCTCAGTCATTCATATTTAATTCCACAAGAGTTTCCGGGCTAGACTAATGCGCTATTGATTTCAATTCTCCTATATGACTTGAAACAAGGAGGAGGGGCCGAATGGATGTGGGCACATGGGGATGGGTCGGGATGGGGGGGGCGGGCTTGCTGGACTGAAGTGAGTGAGAGCATGAGAGAAGGAAGATGGAGTGCAAGAACTAAAGTGACAACAAAAAGGGGAAAAAAATGATGATATGAATGAATGATATAATATAGACTTATGATATCAAAAAAAGGAATATCATGAGACTAAGGTCATAACGTGAAAATAAAGTCCGAATACAGTGGTGCCTTGAGACGAGTGACTCGTCTGAAAGCTGTATGGTGGCAGTAAACTCAATTCGACTTCACGATATTTTTTAAAAAT